CCCCAGCACTTATTAAATATTTAACAAATAGCTACTTAACAGTGAGTTAATATGAATAAAAATTAGGAGAAAAGGAAAGGTACAAAATGCTGGAGACTATTTAGCAAGTGAGAATTCACTAAATGATTTTTTTTCCCTTGGGATCACTCCTTAGGTGTAATACTTACAGACAAAATGATGTCAGCATTATGAAGACACATTATTAGTGTTTGGGATATCTAATGAGGACAGATAAGTAACAGATTCCACACAACCTAGTATTGGTTGCCAGTGTTTTCTGTTACCAGACTTTACTCAAATCCACTGACTTTGACTAGGCATAATGGTGATATCACATTTGGAACATACTTCAGAAACCATGACTTTCTCCTCCCAAGAAAGTCAAGGTAGAGGGGCCCTCTTGGTGGCGCAGGAGTTAAGTACTATCAAGTTATCGCCAGCCACTGCAGCCTGATTCAGTATCCGCAGCCAGGGGACTATGGTGCAGCAGATCGCACCTGTCTCGCCTACTGCTCCCCTCAGCAGTGTATTTCTGCCTGCTCTATTCCCACTTTGTCTCTAGTGAACCTTCTCACAGCTTCTACCCTGGCACCTCAGGCCTATACCCCAGTTCTTGTATCCGTAAGTATATGTAAAAAAAAAAATCTTAAAAAAAGAAAGTCAAGATGGGGATCCATTAGCTCCCATTTGCACCTGTTATTTTGGACAGTGGTAACTAGTATCTAGTGAAGAAAAGGAAACCATCTCAGCTGTTTTTGACATACATGGTATATTACCTGTTAGGTTCCTGGTAAAGAGTACAGTCAAATAACGTATTTAAGAGAACCTAATAAAGAAATCATCTTCAAAGATCTAAGGCTGAGTGGCAGAACATTTCCAGACTAACACCACCATAATCATTTCAAAACATAACTGGGCAAGCAAAGGGTCTTTAGAATCCAGAAAAATCTGTTAAATGAATGAATCTGGCAGAGAGGGCCTACTGACTAGAAAAACTACACAGAACAGCAATGACAAAAAAATCCAGGAGAAAATGCTCCTCAAATCCTCCTCTTGATGTCCACTGGCCAAAGTCAACCACAACTCAAATACAGGGGTTCAGTTGATGTAGTTCAGAGATGTCACTTCCCAGAGTAGAAGGGTGAGGGAGTAGGGTGGAGAAAAGATCTAGAGGAGCACAAAGAGAATATGGAGCACAGAATAACACAGCAAAACACGGACATTAAAAGGTTCTGCCAGTTCCACTTACATCTTTTAAACATTGAAACTGATCTTCTAAACATTAGAAGTCGTCAGCACAGGTATTTACTTGAGTTCCTATTGCGTTCATTAAGATGAGAAAAGGAAAAAAAAGACTAAGAGTAATTCTAAGAGTAAGTTTGACATTTCTGCATCTCTGAGAGTAAACAGACAACCCATTTATTAATAATACATCAGACTTAAGACAGTTTCCTCTTCTCTTCAAAGGGCACTTATTCCAACCTCTATTATTATACTTATCATGATATAGTATAATTGCATTTCTTTCTTTCTACCTCATTAAACCTTGAGCTCCTACCGCGCAAAAAAAAATGTCTTATATACCCCTATTATCTACCATGGAGCTAGTATAGAGCTGGCTTTCAATGGGCATTAAAGTCAGTTAGAGGATCCAATGTTCAATAATCCATAGCCTAATCCAGTTATAGATAAAATCTGGAATGACTCTGGACAATTAAATACTAATAAGTCTTATTCAAGATGTGGCTTAACATGTTGTACAAAACAACTACTTTCACACCAGCCATTATTCTTTCTCTCTAACATAATTTTCTCAGAGCCTCCCTGGTGGCCTGGGGTTAACTCTCAGCACTATCACCACAATGGCCCACTGTGACAGGCCTGAGTTTGATCCAGCCAGGGAACTGACCCACATGGTGCAGCAAGCCTCTCCTGTCTTGCCTGCTGCTCCCCTCAGCAGTGTTTCAGTAGACCTGCCTGCTCTACTCTCAACTCTAATGTCTCTAATGAATCTCTCATCCCCCACATCTGCCCTACACCCCAGCTCTTCTATGCAAAAATAAAAATTTATAAAGGAATCAATTACTACATATCATCTCTCAAAAGTCTCTTTTCCCAAGAATTTACCAGATTCACTGAAGGAATTAACTTGGGTATATTATATACAGAAATGTCACATTTCACAATGGCATGAAGGACTTAAGGGTAGAAATGTACACACTGGTGCATGCATATACTACAGGACATGTTTAATGATCACTTCAACAGATATCAGCCTCTGTAAAATTATAAAGTAACCATGTAACACACTCACACAATACCATCATATTAAGGTAGATACACTGTATGATGTTGAGGTGGTCATTAACAGAACCTGGAACAGTCACATTGTAATTATGAATCACTTTCATATAACCTATATTTATGAGGTGCTTAATCAAGTTCTTGTTGGTACAGCCAACTCTTACTTAATGCCAAGCTGATAACCCTCTTAGAGCTACCATGACTTTAGAGTTTCAATCTCATGCCCTCAGTAAAAAAATTAAAAATTTCAGAATAACATTTAGATTCCACTAGAAAGGTAAGTTTGCTATAAAATTAATCTTCCAATTGATAATGCTATAATCTTTCAACATGAAAATTTTGTATCTTCTGCACTACTGTCTTTGTATCTTCAGCATCTTAACTGCATGTGTATAACATAGTTGATATTTCTTAAATTTAATGTCATACACCAACTTAAGTCATTTCTATTTAGGAAATTTGGGCTAATCATGAAAACATACTAAATGACTTTAAAAGCAACTAGCAATATAATCTATGTTTTAATTGAATCAGATATGTTTCTAAAACATGTTAAGTGCCAGTGCTTTACCCAAACCATCAAAGATGCTTAAAATTATGAACATGATTTTGCTTTTTTGAGGGTCTTCATGAATCCTACAACTCTCAGGTACATGCAGCAATAAAATTACTCTTATCTCTATGACAATTGCATGGTGTTCACATTTTGTTGAAAATATAAATTATTAGAGGCCCTCCCTGGTGACACAAGGGGTTAAAGCACAGCACTAAGAAGCTAAAGCCACTTCCGCATGAGTTCGATTCCTGCCTGCCCCAAAGGTGACCGCATGGCATGACAGACCTCTCCTGACCCGTTGTTCCCCTCAGCAGTGTACTTTGTCGATCTGCCTGTTCTGCTCCCCACTCTGTCTCTGGTGAAGCCTCTTGCTGCCCCTGAGCCTCTGGCCTGTACCCCAGTTCTGTATGCGTAAATAAATCTTTAAAAGAAAATATAAATTATTAGAATCGCTAAGTCACAAAATTGTCACATGAATTTAAAGGAAAAGAATGGACATCTACCACATGGCTTTGTATTTAATAACATTAGCTTTAGCTTCCTCAATACTTTCCAGCAGTATTGTTTCATTTGTCCTAGTTCAATACTTGGCCCACAGGAAAAGCAGTTTGCTTTTCCTACCATAAGGCAGGAAAAAGGAAAGCTGAAATATAATTTCAACAGTGTACAGTATGTGGCAATGGCAGGAAAATATCCAATATACTGAATTACCAAAATCGCTTCTGATGAAATATATTCCTCTCTTCCCAAAAATATAAATGAAGTTTAACAAAGTCTCACTGACACTGACTACAAGTTACAGCATATTTTAAAATTTAACATTTTACCAGGTGTAAACTTTTCGTTGCAAAGATTTGAATATATTTTAATATGAGTATTAATATGCCCTGACATCTGAAAGGATTACTTGTGATTCTATAAACACGGTGTTCCAAAACTGTTTCTCTAAATTCCTTAAGTTCATTGTGGAGTTATACAAATGAGTCCTGATCAATAATAAAGGGTTTCATAAATAACTAAAAGTATTTTTTCTCTAAAATACAGAATTAAATTCAAAATGAGTTAAAACTGGGGGTGGGGAGGAATGAGATCCTGTCACTGAGATGTCATCACACAGACCTACATTTAGGGTTGCTAAAAGCACAGATTTACAACCTGAGAAACTTGCCAGTACTATTCTTTGATACTTAAATATTAGAACGGCCCAAACTTAGATCTTCCTGTTGGTTGTTCTTCAAAATACATAAATAATTAACATACTGCCTTGCACAATCATATTAAAAAGGTGAAAGTAACTCCTAACGCCTAACATTTATTCAGGTGACTTCAATTCTTTCTCGTCAAAGGAAAGGAGCAACTAGACGCCCCCAAAGTGAATTCTTCCATTAGGAAGACAACGCCAATTTGCTGAAGCCAAAAACTGCTTGGTGCTCCTTGTGCGCTGTCGAAGGAGGTGGAAAGCTACACCAGGGCAAGGTCTGTGCGCAGAAGGAAAACACAGGAATCGCCGCTCCCGCCCCCCCCCCCCCAAAACAAGCTTCTTCCGACCTACAGGCAGAAACTTGGCATCCTCACACCCACTTGCAACCTGACAATTTACAACCTGGTAACACCTAATTAGGAACGTTCTAGCCTTTTACAGACGAAAAATCAAATCACTTCCTACAAGTAAGATAAAGCAGGCGCTGGAGCCTGTTACCGAAAACCCCCAGTGCACCAAACCTTCAGTTTAGCTACCGAACCGACCCAGGCTTCCCTACAGTGGAGAAGAGAGGAGAGGCGCCCACCCAACGCTGCTAGATAGAGTGTGTAATGGGAAACAGAGGACAGGAGCAAGGGATAAGAGCACAGAGACGTCCAAACAGTCCAAGCAGGGCTGGGCTCAGCGCACCGGCAGAGACACACACACAGCGGCGGCCACGCGGGAGTCGGGGTGCAGGCAGCCAAGCGGGACCCACGGCTGCGGAAGCCGCCCCCTCGCGTCTCCTCGCCCTGGCGTGCGCGCCCGGCAAACACACCCCCACTCCCGCAAGCGGCTCCTCGCGAGTCCCCGCCCAGAAAACAGCGCCCTAGCGCCCACCGGTGCACCCCTCCCCGGCTCGCGCGCACACGTCCCTCGGCCGGGCGGTGCGTTACGTACCCAGCAACACGCAGAGCACATCCAGGGCCACGTACGGCAGCCGCGTCTTGTCAAACATGGTCTCGGCCGAGGCGGCCCGTCACCGGCGGCAGACGAGGCGACTGACTCACGAAACCCGGCTAGGGGCAGGCTCCTCCCGCCGGCGGAGCGCAGTGGAGGGCCAACAGGGACCGGGCGGCGCTCAGGCGGCGCTTCGGACGGCCAGCAATGGCGCCCGGGCCCCCTCCCCTCGAGGCTCCCGCACCTCTGGGTCCGGGCGAGACGCCCGTGAGCCCGCCGCGGCGGCTCCGTCGCCTCAGGCCCACCTCGGTCGGAGCGGCCGGCCCCAGCTGTTCGCTGTCGGGTGCTGGCGCCCTCTCCAACGGGCGTGGCGTCGAACTCGTGTTTTAAGGATGGAGATCAGCTGGGGGGGAGGAACATGGGGCGGCCCCACCCGCCCGCTGTACGGTACCCGCCAGCGCGCGTCCTCCGGGCAGAGGGAGTGCGGCGGAGGCGGGGCGCCCACTGAGAAGGCGGTGGGGCGGGGACCGGGGAACCCCCAACCGTGGAGGGAATCAGCCAATCAGCGCCGCCGGCCCCGCCCCGCCAGACCTGCGCAACCCGCCCCCTGAAGCGGGACGCGCTCTGACCCCGAGGAGCGGGGTTCACCGACCCGCGCGGCGCGTGTATCTACTAAAAGCCGCTGGGGTCGCGGATCTTTGCCTTTTCGGAGGGAGAACTAGGCCCCCAGGCCCACAGCCCCCCGAGTGTGGGCTGCTGGCCACTCCTCCTCCACCGTGGGGGGTTGGTAATGAAGAGGTCAGGGGCGGGGGCAGGCGGTGACAAAGGCTTATTTGCCCAGACTTTAGTTGCGCTCCTCTGAACCCTGTAGCCCTCTAGGCCTGCACCAGGCCTGTAAGTCTGTCCCAGCTATGCCCAGTTTTAGCATGATTTCCGCTAAGTCATCCCTCCACCTTTAATATCTGATTACCTTTGATTAATGATCAAATTTTCTTATCCCCCTCACTTTTGATATATACATCCTTGACTTGCCTTTGACAAGAATCCCTCCACCCTTAATATTTCCTCTCAGTAATTTTCTACCCACTCACCACTTCTCCCTTTTCCTTCCTCCTTGTTTGTTGGCTATAAATTTCCAAATTGCCTTAGTTATATTCAGACCTGAGCAAAATTTTTCTGTTGTTGTACTAAATAGGCTTGAACAAAGCCGTCACCATTTTAGCATGTGTAAAGGGTAATTTTTCTTTAACAGCAAGCAACAAGCAATACTCTCACACCTGTGTTTCCAAATCTGTAAAATTGGGATTTTAATAACCCCCTGCTTTGAGTTCTACTCAGTTAAGTGGTGAGACCTGGGAAAAACAATAGGAAAGTACTTTAGAAAAGATTAAACCACTACAGATGTTAACAATTGGTATCTTATTATCTTAGCTTACCTTTTTATACAAAGACTAATAAGGCAAATTGAGAATTTCACAGACTTTTCCTGTGAAACACCCCTGAACCCAATGGAGAAGTAACATCTTCAAGTAGTCTGAAAAAAAAAAAGCCCAAGTGATGCCTCACAAGCCAAAAACAAAAAAAAACTTTAAGACTTTTTAAAATAAATCTTTAAGATTGCACATTTTTTAAAATACTTATTGAACACTTTTAAGCAATGTATATCTGAGAGAGTTGTGCTGTTGTTTGTGACTACCCTTCCAGATTTACATGAACTTTAGATTACAAGGCCAAAATAAATTGAAATTGTGATGTGTGTAAAATACTCATTCAAAGAACACTTATTTCAGCTGCATACTAAGCGTAGTCCAGGGGCTGGGTTTTATTTAAGCAGCTTTTGAAATAAGATTTGGTGTGCTTTTTCAAAGGTAAACTTTCAAGAAAACTTACTGATTAATGGTTTTATTCAACACTTACTCATGCATTCATTCAACACTTATGGAGCCATCAGTACAAGCTGAGGTCCATTGTGCAAATGTAGAGTGAAAGATGAGAAATAGAAAAATCTCTTCCCTCCCGGAGCCTACTGCCCATTTAGAAAGAGTAGTTCCTAATTGAATGTTGTTATAAGTGTGTTGGTTTGGTTACACTCGAAGCAGTGAGTTTGGGTTTCACCTGGAAACACTCCACAAGGAGGTGGTGACCTTCACTGTTTTTTTTTTCCCATTCCCTCTCCCACACCAACAGATATTTTCATAGGTGAGAAGGAAGAATACAGTTTTGTTTTTTGTTGTTGCCCATTGGAGCAGTTACAGTATTAAGTCACTTCCTGTTGTTTTAAATAGTATCTGTGCTATGTGGCAGAGTATAGACAATTAAGTTCTCAATTAAGAACAGAATGACTAAGAAATGTGACTTTGTTCTTGGCTAGGAGTTTTAGTTCATTGGGGGTTGGGAGAAAAAGAGGGTTTTTTGTATTGTCATGATTGGATTCTGGATTGGTTAATGGATTTGGTAATGAGTTAGATGAGCTTCAAATGATGATTAAAGTAATAATAATAATATAAAAAACCACAACTGAATAGTGACACCATCAACACTCTTCAGTGGAGGTTCTAGTTTGCTCCACACTTGAACATGAAACCTCAGAGGTTTTCTTAAATGATTTACAAAGTTTGTCCTGGGGCTGCGGGTTTTCACTTTGTGATACAGGCAACAAACAGAAGCAAAGTTCTCAAGAAGAGAGAAAACAAGTTTCTCTCATTAATTTGATCACTAAATTTTTGAAAGACAATCTTCTTCCTCTTTTTAACAACTATATGCTTCTCACTGCTTCACTGGCATTGTTCTTTAACAATGTTACTGGCCAGCTTCCTCTCTGTTCTAACAGCTTTCTAGTCTCAAGTATAGTTTATTTCATATAGTATCTACAAAGTAATAATCATAAATTACCTAGAGTATTTGTGTCTGTTTGTCTTTTCTCCCCACTAGACTGAAGCAAATGGTTTTTATTATTTTCAAATAGTATTATAAACCTGTAACAAAAATGTTTGTTTGGTTCCTTAGAGTATATGCCTCTACCCCAACTCCAAATTTCAACATAGTATATTATGATCCCTTTTTGTGCTTTTTGTCAAAGTTACTCCTTTCTTACCTTATTAAAGTCCTTTTATTATGTAATATTTGATATGCAGATATTGTTGGAACACAGGGAGAAATTCCCTATCCCTCTGAGTTCTTCTCAGGCTGGACAAGTAACCAAAACAACATCAGACACTTTAGCAAAGGAAAAAGTTATAAATAATGGGTACTCTGGGGAGCTACAATGATATGCAGAGCCCAGCATTGGAGTAGGGAGGAAGGGGTATAAATCCAGAGTTGAGGGGCTTTAGTGCCAAGGAAGGAATGACTTCACCATTACAGAGTACAAAGAGGGGGTGACTTCCTCTTTATTATCCGAGTGAAGATGAAATTCTCAGAATTTGAAAAGAAATTCTAAGCTAGAAATAAATTTATTTCTAAGTGAAAAATAAAACTTCATACAGATGACACCTCCCAAATTAAGTCATAGGAAAAGGAATGGTAATTGTTTCTTCATTTAAGAAAGGATAAAAGTTTAGGGAATTATGACTCTCTTCATAAGTTAGAGAAGAGCAAAGGACTCAGGCAAAAGCAAAAGCATCTTCTCACTCTCCAGAATTTTCACTATTAGTTCAAAATACATTGCCTGTCATGCAGGGTGTCTTGAGGTGACCATTTCAGAGAATCCTCGGGTTAACTGTTTCAGGCACCTTCAGCACATGAAGTACATGTAAGTTATTCAGTATATAAAATGAGCAACTGAATCCACTATTCACCTTAACACCAGAGCATACATGTTACTGTTGAATCCACCTGTGTGTTCAATCCCTTCTTATTCCCTGCTTTAGGAAAAGTACCACTATCCTGACTAGTGAGGTATTTTGACTCAATACTATTCATTCACTTTTCTCCTTGCCTTTTCTTCCCCTGTGTTTTAAGCAATGTGTATATATTTCAAAATACATATACATATTTCTGTTAGCTTTCTTGAGTTTTAGCTTTAAAAACATTATATATGTAGTTTTCTGATTTTTTTTCACTAAAAATTATACACAGCAATAGTTTTAGGTCTGCCACATACATATGTCATTTTGTTTACTGTCACAATGAGGATCCAGGTTATTTACATTTTTATCTAGTACAATTAATGCTACTGTGAATATTTGTGTACATGTCTTCTGTGTGGAATTGCTTGCAGGGAAACTGCCATCTCCTGGGGTAAATTCACAATGAAACCTTCACCTGACCTTTACCTTAACCTCTACCTTTTTCTCTGTATAAATCCTTGAATTCTATCCCTCTCTTGTGTTCCTTTTATGCTTCTGCCTGAATCTGTGAACCCTCGATTATAACCTCATATCAACACACATTGTTATGTGTGTTATGCCACTTAGCTTTTATTAATGAGTTAGTTTTTGTTTTTGCTAACCAAAAAAAATCTGAAGAGGATGTTTACTTTTATGATAAAAGGTGAAAAACAAAAATAGCACTCAGGATTTGTTTTTGCAGCAATCATTCTAGCGGTAACACATTTCCTGAGCTACAAGTGTGGCACTGCCAAGCTCCTTCCCTGAGAACTACTTTACAATGAATCTCTAGGATCAGAGTTGGGGCTTCACAAATGGGCAACCCAATTCTACCAAGACAATCTCCTTCCAAAAAGACTCTCCTAAAGCTTGTTGTTGTGATGAAGAAATGCAAATATGTAAGTGAAATTGCCTAATATGTGTCTGGTCTAGGCAGACACTATGTGTGTATGTTTTGAAGACAAAGATTCCTATAAACACACATCTACCGTTTCTGCTTCCCTACCACCCACTCAACCCAATATTTCCATAGTTCCCTAATCTATCAAAGAAACAGAGGTGGTTTGACGTGACTTGTTCTTAGTAAATCCACACCTGACCCTGGTGACCACTTCCTTTCTCTGAGATGTTCACAAATTATTTCTTTTACGATGTCTTTAAAAATCACCAGCTGGTGGGAATGAAAACTACTACAAACACTATGGAAAATTGTTTGGAGGTTTCTCAAACTGCTAAAAATGGAGCTTCCATATGACCCAGCAATCCCACTCCTAGATATCTACTCAAAAGACACAAAAACATTGATTCAAAAAGACACCTGCACCTCCATGTTTATTGTTGCTTTATTTACAATAGGAAAGACATAAAAATGACCCAAATGCCCAAAAGTAGATGACTGGATTAAAAAGATGTGGTACATATACACAATGGAATATTAACTCAGCAATCAAACAAGATAAACACATGCTTTTTGCAGCAACATAGATGGAGCTGGAAGGGATCATGCTTAGTGTAATAAGCCAGAAAGAAAAGGAAAAATACCAGATCGTTTCACTCAGCAGGGGCATAAAGGGGGGGGGGGCGGGAGGGACTGGGGGAATAATAATAATGAACAACTATACATCAGAGACATTTTACGGGGTTAGAGTGGGGAATGGGATCAA